AACGGATCGCGTTGCTTTTTCCAAGAACGCTAAAACAACCCCGGTAATTCCACGACAAAAAAAATGGAAATTAAGGAAAATGGTTTTTTAATAGAGGAAAAATCTGTTTGCAAATTAGTCTTTTTAAATTATACAGGAGCCCATGGAACAGTCATCAAAGGACATTTTACAGTCGGCCGGCCAGGGATGGTACTGGTGGTCTGACCCGTTTGAGCCGTCTGAGAAAAAAAAAAAACCCATCAAGCTGAACATTTTTCTTTTTACGTCGTGGTTTATGCAAATTGCAGGGCAAACATGAATGGTGTGTTATTTTTACATCTCTTTGGAGTCTTCGTTTATACAGTTTGTAGGAGATTAATTGTGACTATATTTGTCCGAGTCTGCAAGAGTTAGTGTTGCCTAATTATTTCTGTTGGCAGAACTCGGCCTTCAGGACTTTTCTTCGGGGACAACATTCTTGCAGGTCCATGAGACACAAAATTAAATTGATTTACTGCAGTTAGGAGCAGTTAGGAGGCAGAGCTGTGTGTGCCGAATCTACACATCTATTCACATCGGAAAAATGTAGCAATTGTAACATACGACCTTACTACGTCTTTTGCTTATTAAAATGTGTACACGTGTATTATAATTTGTACTATGAGGAGGTGACACATATTGGCACACAATAGTTTCCATTCACAATGAGTTTGTTTACATTTACTCTATCGCATGACAATATTCACATTAATCACGTCTTCTTTTCATTAAAGGGAACATTGCATTGGCATGCAATTCTTATTTATTTCTCATTCATTAGGGACACAGGATTCAGCATTTATAGACAGGTTATATACTGCCTCCTTCAAGAGGAATTGGACGCTGGTTAACAAAAAAGTCAGTGGCCAGCCAGGTATAACCCCTTCCACTCATCAGTTTTTGCTAATGTCCAACGAGGATGGGCATCTTTTCTTTGAGAAAAGTTTCATATTTAATAGCCATTTTCTCTTTATCTACATGCTGCTGAGCTAAGTGATTTATGTAGCTGTGCAGATCAGCATTTCCTCAGCAATGGCTGTGAAGGCCATACCCAGACCCTGCTGGACCTGTATGGAATGTGATCTCTTGGCACTAGGCTGTGCTTGCTTGTGGTACTTTCCAGACCCTTGTGTACTGTGTTAGACATTGAGTGCTCTCCGGCTTTAGCAGCTATAGTGTTGCACGCACACACAACACACTCTGTTCTGCATTTTCAGCATGAGGTAGTTTCTTCCTGCCATTGCTCTTGTTTGCAAATGATACAGTCTCGGTTGGATCAATCTGCCACCTACAGTGGCTTGGTCACCGTGGTCATTGAACCTTTCTGGCCCTCAGCTGGTCTATGAGAAACCAAGTTTTTTCTTGGTGCCTTAAATAAATTGCCTCAGTCTAGCAACATGTCAGATCCGAAGTGCAAGGGAAGCAGACCCTCTGTATCGGGTCTCTCTAGCTCACGATCCACTAACAGTCTTGGGGTGGCCTGCAGTGTCCCTCCTCAAGGACCTGACACTGACAACCTAGATCAATGTCCCATACTTAAGTCTGCACATTCATCGGAGTCTCTATCTTCTGCCTTTTCCAGGGAGAAATTATCTACAGTTATTCTAGACTTTATGGACCAAATCGATACTATGATGGCTGACTCAGAATGCAGAGGCCTTAAATGTTCTTATACACCTTCTCCTCCAGAATCTGTATCTGATAGTTCTGCAGCTATAGCAGCCTCTGAGCCTTATGCTGTGGATGCTCTGTAGGATAAAGAGTCTCAAAAATCTGTTTGGATGAGTTTGTTCCTAAGGAGCCACAATCATCTGCTAAGGCTTCCAAATTTAAAGATACCATATCATTTTTTATTGATGTATATACAGGTGAAACTCGAATAATTAGAATATCGTGCAAAGTTCATTTATTTCACTAATGCAACTTAAAAGGTGAAACTAATATATGAGATAGACTCATTACATGCAAAGCAAGATAGTTCAAGCCGTGATTTGTCATAATTGTAATGATTATGGCTTACAGCTCATGAAAACCCCAAGAACCCCAAATCCACAACCTCAAAAAAGTAGATTATTACATGCAATCAATAAAACAAGGATTGTACATAGAACAATATCGGACCTCTGAAAAGTACAAGCATGCATATGTACTCAGTACTTGGTTTGGGCCCCTTTTGCAGCACTTACTGCAATTACTTTTGCACGATATTCTAATTATTCGAGTTTCACCTGTATAAGTAAACACAAAAAGAGAAAGATGGGGTTTTAAAGGCACCAAATGACAAATCCAATAGATAAAAATTGTCTTTATTCAATGGTATTTAAACATTTTATGAATAAAATTCATGGAAACCTCCCAGATATCTCCTAAAAGCATCACTCCACTCCTATATAGCAACCAGGTCAATGGTACATAGATAATGATAATGGTATAGAAAATGACATAATTAATGACATGATTGACAAAACATATAAATATCACAATGATAATGTAATGACCAATACTGGTAATTGAAGTGGAGGAGTCACGTGGTATCTCAACGTTTCACGCTTAATAGCGCTTCCTCAGGCGATGGAGGATATCAATTGAACAGGTAACACATGACGGACCAATTCGGGCGGAACCCAGACTCAGGGAGAGACCAGATGAGGATCAATGCCCCCAAACAAGCAATAGAAAGTGGGAGTCACAACATAGATGAGAAAAACCCAATACGTGCTGGTTCCATTATAGGTAAGAAGGCCTATCCATCAGGGCATACACAGCCCCAGAGGACCCCAATTCTCCACACTTTCAAGAGCCCTTGGCATTCACACAGCCCCCCTACAGCCCATTCAGCTGGCACATGTGTTACCTGTTCAATTGATATCCTCCATCGCCTGAGGAAGCGCTGTGAAGCGTTGAGATACCACGTGACTCCTCCACTTCAATTACCAGTACTGGCCATGCCATTACCATTGTGATATTTATATGTTTTGTCAATCATGTCATTAATTATGTAATTTTCTATATCATTATCTATGTACCTTTGACCTGGTTGCTATATAGGAGTGGAGTGATGCTTTTAGGAGATATCATATGGGAGGTTTCCATGAATTTTATTCATAAACTTTTTTTAAATACGATTGAATAAAGACAATTTTTATCTGTTGGTTTTGTCATTTAGTGCCTTTAAAACCCCATCTTTCTCTTTTTTTTGTGTTTACTAATATTTCCAGGGGTGTGGTGCCTAATACTCAGGTCTTGGCCACGATGCATGTGTATATTATTGATGTATAAATAAGCCAGCTTAAAATTGGAACAGCCTTCAGCTGATACCGGAGCTGTTATTAGTCTATGATTCCTGAAAGGTCCAAAGACTATCAAAACTTTTCTGGTACTTTCCTTGCTTGAACCTGTTCTGTACAGAGATTGGCCTACTCCAGATAAGTAATTCACACCTCCAAAATGTTTTACTGACCCATATATCCATTTGAGGAGGCTTTTAGTAAGAAGTGGCCAGTTCCCATTGTAAATCTCTCTATATCCCATTGACAAGTGTCTGGAATCCCTTTCAAAATTCTTGTATTGAGCCCTCGAGCCTCCTTCCTTCCTAAAGGTTGTTTCGGCCTTTCACCTTAACCAGGACATTATTCTTCCATCCTTCTGTCCAACTCCAGTACATCCAAAGGTAATTTCCTTTCACTGCCTAGATGTAGTTCGTACCGTGCGAGCTACTGCTTTCATTAAAAAGACTGACTGACTCTGTTTTGCCATTCATGATGGTTCGGTTCTCATGCCAACATTTCTCACTGTTTCAGATAGATCATTGTTCAAGCTTGTTGTCTTAAGAAAGAGGTTCCACCTTTTCCTGCCTATGCACACTCTAATTGGTCAGTCATAAGGTCCTTCAGGCAGCTCTTTGAGCCAGTTATATTGTTTGCTTTTATTGTGTGTTTTGTCATTGTTGCCCGCCCCTCAATTGGACTGCTTTTGGACATCCCAAATGTCTATGAATGCTGAATCCTTAGTTCCTTAATGAATGAGAAAGAAATATTTTTTTAAGTTCATTAAGGGACACAGGTCCCACCCTTCCATGTTTGTGATCTACTCCTAATACTGCTTTTCTACAAAAGTGAAGCATGGTGATAGTAGGAGGGATTATACCTGGCTGGTCAATGGCTTTTTTGTCTGCCAGTGTCCAGTTCTCCTGTAAGCGGCAGTATAACACAATCGTCTAAGAATGCTGAATCTTGTTCCTTGAAGAACTCCAAGAAACAGATTTTACTATTTTTTTTCCACTTAAAATTAACATTTTAAAGCTAAATTCACCCATTTGACCATGTTTAATATTGCACCCATATTCAGAGTGTAACATTAAACATGATCGCATACAGAATCTTCAAAACCCAAATCACATCCCTCTCCCTTATTACTTGAATTTAGCTGCATCATCCAGGTGTGGGATCACTTTTAAGACCAATGATGTGACATTGGAGCAAATGCATGTAGACAGGAAGTGGCTGAAAGGGGCTGGAGGACAGCACTGAGATTGGAAAAAGGATGAAATAATGGTATAAGCAGTCTTTTCTGGAAAAAAAGAGACATGGTTATTTTTTTAATACACAGTGCTTTGGAAAACTAAATTTTGCACAGAAGGGGTCTACAAAACCTGCTTATCTCTTTCACTTGTATGCTTAAAAAGATTGTAATTCCCTTTTTACTTAATAACGTAAGTTTGCTTATGTGTCTCGTGTCACAGGCCCTTTGAGGTCATATTTTGTTAAATTCTTTTTTCTGATTTGGTATTGGGATATTCATTTTGATGGAGTATATGGCGGTAACCAAGCTAGTCCCTGGATACAGAGGGGAAGCGAAAGCTTGGCATCAAACGGCCGATCACCGCCTGCCATCTCACGTTTCCATTCACTGAAATCCTGTTGTGTGTTTCTGATTTAATAACCACTCGTGTGCCTTTTTCATATTTTTTTTTCTTGTTGCAGAGCGCGGCAGCCGGTGGGACGGAGTCGAACAGCGATGCCATCCAGCCCAGCCACATCAGAGAAACCATACGGCGCTACGGCCACAAGCTTGGCCCTCTTTCTCCGTTCACGGTGCGTAATAACAGAGTCGAAAAAAGTTCTATTTGTAATCTTAGGGAGATTTCATCTTCAAGTGGTCTTAGGAAGAAGCCTTGAAATTGTTAAGAGCAATTTGTGGTCGCTGTAATTTTCTTTGTAAAAATGAAATATTTCTCCCGGGAAATAAAACGCCGTCCGTTTGTGCCTGCTGGAAGCAAAGAAACATTTTCATACAACATATTTATACTTCACTCGCATGTTTAAAAATTTTTTAAAGCCCAACTCCAGCCCAGATTTTTGGTTTGAGTCTTTTGGATAGAGCGGAGAAGAAATAACATTCCCGTCAGGTGTTTGGATGGATTCAAATTTTTTTTTAAATCAAAACGTTTTATTGATTTTCGACATAACACATATACGGATGCAGTGGTAGTACATGGCTACAGCATACGTCGCAGAAATCGAGGTGTTACACATCAGCATTGAGATGATAAAAGTTCAGTTTCCTAATCCAGTGAGAGGGGTCACTAATGGGGCGGTCTCGCTGATCTAATAGACCGAGTCCATGGTTAGGTCCACAGGAATGTTGGGGGACCAAATTAAGTTACAAGGTTATAAGAAGGGAGCTGCGCTACAGTGAGTCGCTGCAACGCAGAACCACCACCTGCGTTATGGGGAAACATAAGAACTACTACAAACTTAAAAGATGGATTCAAATTTTTAATAGATCTATCACTTTACGATAGGGCACATTGGCTCTGGTACGGCTGCTGTCAACAAAAACAGGAGGCCCAGAATATTGAATATTCACATGTACAAAGTCAAATGAGATCACCAAATCAAAGATCAAATGAGATCACCAAATGAAACAAAAGTTCTGAAAGCTTTTAGTATTGATATTTTTTGACTAAAGGACAACAGAACAGCTAACGTGTTTCAAGGGTTCGTTGATCGTGGAGGTTATTGCTGGTTCATTGGTCCTGGCCATATCTAATTTTTATACAGGAAACAATTCTTGGCGATTGGGCTACCCTTCAGTCCTAATAATTATCCATCTTGCTTAAGCCCTGAATAGCGGCATCACCAGGCTGGGTGCCGCCCAGTGTGTGCGACAGGAGTCACCCGGTGCATACGTCATTTCGCATGTACGTAATTACGTCGCGTGTGAAGTTCTCCTTCAGGTCCTCCTCTGCTTATTGACAGCAGGCAGTGGGCGGGTGCAATCAGGGCCGGATTTACTCTCTCTGCTGCCCCAAGGCCGTGCGCCCCCCGGTGTGCAGGCTACTTACAAGTGATTTCAGAGACATCAACAAGATCACTTGTACAAAACAAGCGACGGCTTCTCCGCTGTACATTTAGCCCTGCTTACCCAAAGCAGGGCTAAATGTAGAAAACAGCATCCCACCCGGCACCCAGAACTGCATGTCCCAGGCGTCGGGAGATAGGAATTCCACAGGCCTGCCGCCCCTCTACTCCCTGCTGCTCCGAGGCCGGGCCTCGGTTGGCCTTGTGGGAAATCCAGCCCTGGGTGAAATAGCCAGCCTGCTATTGGCTATAGCAATTTAAAATAGCAGGCTGGCTATTGATCCTGGCTGCTGGATGGGACACTTGTTGCCGGCTTTCTAGTGCCGGCAGTTGATCAGAAGAGGGGGAGCAGCGGGGACGCGGGCGAGGGCACAGCATGATGTAGGGTGTAGTTAATTCCTTGCCACAGTGCAACATACATGTTGGAATATCCATGATTATTTTGTAGTTTAAATATTGTGTGTAAAACAAGATGATATAAAATGGAACTCGTCTATAAAATGTGCCAACCAAGATTGTAGGCTGAAAGCAAAGTCATAGGAGGGATTTTTTTTCTTACTTAGAAATCCTGAATCATATTCAGTCTGTAATTATTAAATGACTTATAGCTTAAATCCGTATGGTTCTACCCAAGAAAAGTATAGGATCCCGAAATAAAATGTGCCAAGCTACAGCGATCGAAATGGAAAACTTTAAAATGGCTGCCAACGCATCACTGAATCATGCACACATGGAATTATCAGCATAGGAAAGATTTTTTTTTTCTTTTTCTAGTGGAAAAAATAATTATAAACTACTATAGTTTTTTTTTGCCTTTCAGCTCACAGTTTGATGCCCACCATGTGTAAAGCACTGGCAAAAATGTAAATATATCCACACTGTAGGATGACCATGTACAGCTTTCTTTTCAGATACCACTATCCAGTCTTGTTACATAAAGTGTACTGGTCACGTAGTAGGCATAACGGGAGACTTCAGTTAAAATTCTAGTAAATCATTTCAGAGGCTTCTGTACAATGTATATTCCTTTTGGTCTTTGCCTGTATATAAACACACAGGGCTCTTCGTATATTATTGGTGCTAGCTAGACTACATTTGACAAATCAGACTTGGTGAATTATGCTGTCTTGATGCAAGTATTGGTTTAGCTGGGTTCGGGTGTGTATTTTATTATTTTACTGGCTTTACCTTTTTTAAATAATTAACAAGTACATTTTTACATATGCTCCTGGTTGAGTAGAGACATTTCTCCGGTCTGTTAAACGTGTCCTGAAAATTTATTTTTAAAATATTAATTTTAATGCCTGCTGATTTTAAAGCACACTTGCACTAACAAAAACCCTGAGATGCCTTGATTGATATAAGAAATTAACCCCCACCCATCTACTCAAACGCCTATCTATCCACCCAACCCATAACCCCCACCTATCTAGCCAACCACCTGTCCGTCCACCCAACCCATAACCCCCATCCATCTACCCAATCACTAATCCATCCAACCACCCAGAGCCCAAAACATACATCAAGCCCGACCCACCCATAGACCCAATATACACCCAGCCCATGACCAACCTATCCATCCACCCAGCTCAACCCAGCCCACCCACTCATCCATCCACCCCACCCACCCTTCCATCCATCCACCCACCCATCCAAAACCCCACCCATCCCCCTACCCATCCCCCTGAATATGTGTTGCTGATAGTTTACAGTAACCACAAGGACAGCTGAACTGGTGGGACCTTTGGTGGCGATTTTTAACGGGCCATCAGAGAAATAAAAATGATAAAATATATTTGCAAAATTGGTTAATGTGCCTGTCTATATTAATGGTGCCTAGGTGTTGTAAGTGCACTGATCCCTTAACTAAATAGCTAGAATGGTATTGGCAGCCACACTTGGCTTGGCACGTTTCCAGTGGATTATTCATGATACCACAGCAGAGACAGTATGAAATGGAGACAATGAATAGTGTATTTACAGAAGATTAAGTGCCATTCTGGAGCTGTGATTACAAAGTGTACTGTGCAGTGCTGTGCTGACAGATTACCCAGAGAGATTTGGCACTGCTGCCTGTGACCTGTCATGGTAAGACTAAGAGTCATTCTTCTCACCGCTTGTATTTATTATACACACAGCACTAAGTTATGTCTTTTATACTCACTTTACACCCTTATTATTATGTCACTCAAATGTTTAATTATTCTCCAGCAGCTCCTCTTGTTTGTCAGTCTGGCAGAGACCTTACATTTTAAAAAAACCTTGCGCAGATGATTAAAGCCATCACAGAAATATGTGAATGATCTTAGAGAGCAGAGCAGGAAACAATCTGGCTGAATGCAGCGCTGAATAGGGGTGCTGGATTATATGGCTGTCTATGAGGACACTAATGGTACATCGCTGCCAGTATTTTATAATAATTCATGTCTCAGAGAACTATGTGCAATAGAATGAAGTTATGACTTCTAAAGATACATTTATGTCAAACTTGAAAGCAGAATGTTTTTATTGTGCATCTGAGCAGGATGCACTTTGACAAAAGTGTAATTTTTACATGAGTCTGTGTAGGGAAACCTCCCTTTCATGTTCTCATGCATGTGAATCCCAACTCCTGATATACACAGATTGTCCTGGGTCAACGACTAGCCATGTAGTGAAGGAAGGATTCAGTCAATCATGGAGAATGCACGATAACAAATAAGTTATCCATGGCACCTCCCCACACATTCTTCTTAAAATTACACTAATTTCCAGACTTTCATCCTTCTACAGCCGAGTGATACACAAATAAGATACATTGTTGTTAATAGTTAAGGGACATGAATGCATTTTTAGGATATAAGGGGGGATATGATCTCCATGTACAAAATGTTCCATGGTGGTAGCAACATTAGCGATAAACTGTTTAAAATTAACTCCATTACCAAAACTAGAGGCCATCACCTAAAATTGGTGGGAAAAAAATTCCAGCACAAGGGGTGAAGGGGGTTCTTCACAGTGAGATCAGTTAGGGTCTGGAACTCACTGCCACAGGCGGTGATTTCAGCAAATAATGTGGAATTGTTCAAGAAACTTTTGGACGATTTCTTAAGGGACCGCAATATACAGGGGTACGGGTACTCCTAGAATGAGATCCTAATAGGTTGGACTTGATGGACTTATGTCTTTATTCAACCTCAAATACTATGTAACTATGTAACTCCGGAGTTTAGTGTCATTTTACAGGTGAACTTCAGACAGATATAAAATACAAAAATGTAATCATTAATAAATCATATCTGCATATGATTCCAGGGACCATTGCCCCAACCCATTTCTGACCATTGAAGCCTGGATGACCAGTTTGAATTTACCAATGTCATGTGTGTTTGTTAGCTTGGCGATAAATCTATGACTAATTTGCCCACTTAGATTGTCTTTACGTTGTTTTTTAGGGGCATAATTTGGTACACTGTTTAATAAATACCCTCCTCCTGTTTTTATTTTACGTTGACCAAATGGATAAAAATGTGAATTTATGGATTTTTGGTTATTTAACACATAGGGTATCAATCAAATATTAACTTTTTTTAAAAGCACATTGTAATGTAATTTCTAGCACTGTACCTCCTCCTCTGTGCACTGGCTGTGTCATCTACAGGCTGGAGAGTTTTTTTTGTGTAAATAAATCTCCAAGCTGAGAGAGGTCACTATTCCGAGACCTGTGGCTGCAGTTTTTAGAAATAAGAGCGTGCACAGATGCCCCCTCATGTGCTGACCAGGATC